TTTCAAAGCTTACTATATGATAACACTAAAATGTATTGTTATTATTAAAAATACAAACCGTTAAGCYTACATGTATAKCCTTAGAAAATGTTTTAAGGAACTGTAAATAAATTTCGATAATTGTTAGGTGTTTCAACTAATCATTATCACCACAAAAGTYTTTTTTTATGAAACTCAAAGYCAATTCCCTAGACTAATTTTTATGTTTGAAAAGCTCACCTCGTGCTTATTAATGACTCCGAATTTCATTGCAAACCAAATGCTTTTCCACTTAAAAAAATTGATCGTTTGTAAACGTACTAATTTGCATATGAAAACATAGTCATATGCAAATATTTCGACTTCCAGATAAATTCCTGTTTTAATTAAATGGTCTGATAATAAAAAGAATGAATAACAAAGGAGTTACCAACAAAGCTGCAATTTAAATTTTCAAAAGAACTATTAACTATTTTACTGAAATATCCATATTTTGGAAGCTATTTTTAGCAATCAAGCATCTCATCTCTCACGCAAGGGYCCTGAGTATGTGACATTCTTTAGCGATTCCCTTGCCAAAATAATAGTTACCTAATCATGCCCTTTTTTGACCCTTGYCAAAAAATTGAAATTTCTGTTTCATTTTTTATGAATGAATATCTATTGCAGATACTTTAATTACCTCTTGACACTATAGACAGTACTTCTTGAACATACCTCATTAGCACTGAATTTTCCGGATAAATATATACATCACTTACTAGTTATACTGTAATAATTGTGCAAATTTGCATCCACTATACATTATTCTAGGCAAAACATTATTTTCAAAATATGTAGCTAGAAGTCACTCCCAAATGATATTCTAATCCACATGTCAAAGTCACACCTCATTGCAATACAAAATAGAACATATTTAAAAGACAAATCAAAACACGTTGCTGTGAACGGGACCTGAGACTGAACACTTTTTTTTTCAACATTTTTCTAATTATCTGTACATCAATCCATATTTTCTGTATAGACAAAGGAACCAAAATTAACATCAACTAAATTTCATTTATATGTATAATAATTTTAATCAAGAACGTCCATTTTACAATCATTTTCTACTTCTTACTGATCTCTCTTACATAACATGGAAAATTCTCAACTATTATAACATAAATTCAAGAAACAAATTCACATTTTATAATGTAAAATCATGAACTGCTTGATAGTTTATACCAAGATCAAAACAAACTAAAA